ATGAATATGTCCTTCATATAATATTTTAAAAGAATACGAGAGAGTCGGTTTGGGCACCAGTTGAATGAGGACTTCAAAAAACAATTCTACTATGAAAATCTGCCGCCACATACTTCATCCACAGCTTTTCTAGAGATTTTCCATGTGTTCGGATACTGTTACTCAGACAGCTTTAAAGCCACAATTCCTTTGGAAAGTTTAAATATTTGTCTACTGCGCTGTACTTACGTTAGCAGGCCTAGGCCACTGAATCACTAAAATGAGAAGTCGAAAAATTTATTTGACGCCCAACGCGAAACTGGACATACTTGGGTGCTCCAGAGCAAGTCGACCAAAATAAGAACAGAGGAGAATGTAAGTGTATAATGTTTTGCCAAAAATTGCCGAAAAACTTCGTCACTCAGATCGCGTGAAAATATCTCAAAACCAATAATTTTAAATATAAAACAAAGCCTCCCCCTAATTATCATACCAACCCTCCTATTGAATTCCCATCTATATAATTTGAAGTAATAATAAAACAATACCTCTTCGCAAAAAAAAAGACGTTCCTCAATTCTAAAAGTTCTTCACTTTGGCTTTTTGCATTTGGGAATATATGCAGTCAGTCAGTCAGCATCCAAGTCTGCAGTACGTATGAGTAAAGCATCCATAAAAAAGGTGGCAAGTGAGAATAGTGCTGGTGGTGATTGTTATTGTAATTGTTGTTGTTGTCTTGGAATACGCCCAAGGTATTTTAGCGTTATAAGCACGCGCAGTCTCCGCTCTCCGTCAACGTCTTAGATATTAATTTAAATTCAAGCAGTCAAACCACACTCTGATGTGTGTTTGATGGCACATGGGGAAACCGCTTTTAAATTGTACTGCTGCAGCGAGCCTTGCAACATGGGAGTAAAACAACTACGACCAGGTTGAGCGCTGTTGTGTTGTGTTGTTTGTCAGTCAGTTGTTTGGCTATTCATAAAATGCGTAGGCGAACTCGTTCGAGACAGTTACCTTAGCTAAAAGACAGTCAGATACAATAGATAGATAGATATCTGGTTAGGAAGTCTTACCGACGACTGACTGACTGTGGGCTGTTAGTTTTGGCCGCTTGATATGCTGTGCGTGTGTGTGTGTGTGTGGGGAAAATGAGAGGAGAAAAGTTACAGATGTAATAACACGATCAACAGCGGAGCACACAGCCGGAGCAATTGCATGTGAGTCTGTCGATTTTGCTTACCAGGAAAATACATATGTAGCAATGCAGATTACATGGAGTAGTTATTTATGTATGCATGCGCCTGAGCTAGGATCACTTCTTTTTCGTTTTTTTTTGATTTTGTGATCAATTGATCATAACATCTTTGGGATATTTTGATTAGTGTTGGTGGTGGTGGTGGATGCATTGGCTTGGGGCTCTCAAAAAAGAAACATGTCCATGTGGCGGCGATTTGGCTAAAGTGTGGGAAAGTTGTGAACAACAAAGTCAGGCGAACTGTTAACGATCTCTGATGTGATAACCACACCACATCACACTCTGCCACACATCAGCAGCTACAGCAGCAGCCATCAAGCCAGGGTAGTGTTGGATCGATCCAAAGGCATCTACGAAATGTGGACACGCTTGATAAACGCCGTCATCTCTGGCTAATAACCATGAGCGAGCGCATGCCTATTGAAGCGTAACATTTTTCACAAGAAAATCCGTTCCTTTGCCCCAATGTATTTCCAATATCCGATTCTGTGAGAGATTTTGATCTATGGCGAGATAGCGGCGATATTGGATTTGTTTGCTTTTGGGAAGTTTGTTGGGGTGGTGTATTTGATTTAAGATTATTGACAAATTTAGTTGTTGTGGGTAAAGCTGATGCCGATGTTTGTTGGCGGCATTCCGTGTGATTCGGTTTTAAAGCCTTTAATCTTTGTTGAGATGCTTTTAGCCAGGGATCTGTCATTGTGGGCTTTTGTGAGTGTGAGAGTGAGTGCGTGTGTTTTGGTGGGCTCAAAGGCATTTATCTTCTTCTTCCTTTTAATTCTGTTTTTTTTTTCTCTTCGTGTAACCGAATTTTTTGTGGCTGTCCTCTGCCTACACAATCCTCACTCACTTACACACACATACACCTATCCTCACTCAGATCTGGGGATTTACCGATAATAAAAGAATTCATGTCTTGCCTTGTAAGAAAATTGGCCTTTTAATAAGATTTTCTTGTAATTGTTGTTTGCTGTGACCATGTTAAACATTGAATGGCAACAACAACAACAACAAAGGAACTTTAATGACAGTGACATGTTATTGTAAACAAATTTTTCTTTCTCTCGCCCTATTCAAAGAACGGCTTAAGCCGATGTGCATACAAATGCAGTTCAGAGAGAAAGAGAGGTATGCCGATTTGACAAACCTTTGAATTTCCTTTGTTCTTTTGAAGATAAGTCACAGTGGAATAAAGCTAAGTTAGAAAGATTACAATTCTTTTTTTTAGAATACAGAAAAGTTCAGAATTGCAGGGAAAAAAATTCCAAATCAAGAAAAAAAAAATAAAAACAAGTAAAAAAATAAGTTCGGGCGGGGCGAATTTTTTATACCCTCCACTTTGGATAAAAAAGACAATTTTATATATCATGGTGGGTATCGATGTATGTGCGCTATTTGAAAACGTGGACCTACATATTCAATGTTCTGCCACCGTAGCTAGAACCATCATGAGCTACAAATGCCAATTTTTTTGCAAATTTCTGGAAAAATGTGGCGAAAATCACCAAAATACTGAATACCTGGAAGTACCATGTACACTATGTACACTATAATCCATTACGGCCTACAAATACCAAATTTTGGACAAATTCGTGAAATAATGTTGCAAAAATCGTCAAAATATTGAATATTAGGGAGCTATACAAATATATGGACCTCTACATACAATGTTTCGTTACCAGAGCTGTAAGCCACTATGACCTACAAATAACAATTTTTAGACAAATTCGGAAAAAATTGTGGCAAAACTCGTCAAAATACCGAATATCGGGAGGTACCGTTGCATGGGAGCTATACAAAAATGTGGACCTATACATACAATGTTTCGCCACACAAGTTAGAACCCTACAAATGCCAATTTTTAGACAAATCGGTAAAAAAAACGTGGTGGGAAATCATGAAAATACCGAATATCGGGATATACCGTTATATGGGAGCTGTAGAAAAACGTGGACTTATTTGTAGGGCCCATTATGACCCTCAAATTTCAATTTTTGGACAAATCCGTGGAAAAATGTGGCAAAAATTATCAAAATGTACCGTTATATGGAAGCTATACAAAAAAGTGTACCTTTACATACAATGTTCCGCCACCGAAGCTATAACCCTCTATCACCTACAAATACCAATTTTTAGACAAATCAGCAAAAAAATGTGCCGAAAATCATCAAATTACCGAATATCGAGAGGTATCGTTATATGGGAGCTATACCAAAGTGTGAACCTCTATATACTTTGTTGCGCCACCGGAGCTACAACCCATTGTGAACTACAAATACCAATTTTAAATGGGAAAAATAATCAAAATGCTGAATATCGGGAGATACCGTTATATGGGAGTTATACAAAAACGTGGACCTATACATACAATGTTTCGCAACCAGAGCTATAGCCCACTATGACCTAAAAATCCAATTTTTAGACAAATCGGTGAAAAAATGTGGCGGGATTCATCAAAATACCGAATATCGAGAGGTACCGTTGTATGGCGGCTGTGTATTAAAACGTGGACCCGTGAATCTCAAAGCCAATCATCATGGACACAATACAAATTGCTTTGCCAAATTTTGAAGCTCTACGTCAAATAATGTGGGCTGTATCGTGATTTGATTGACAGACATACGGACATCTTTAAATCGCCTTAGAATTTTATGCTGATTATGAATATATATTTTATTTAGGCTACCTCTCTGAGATGAGCTATTGGTCTTTCGTCAAGGTATATTAAGAATACATTTTATCGGACTATGGAACGTTTCTGACCCATTCATATTTAAACATCTGTAAATTACTTATAAGAAGAATTACATTTCTAGATGTCCTCTACAGGGGGTTTTTGTCTAGAGAAGGCGATTCTTAGAAAAACAAAAAATCTTTAATGTCTTCCTTTACTTAAAAAGTCTTGTATAATATCTTAACCAAAGTGGAGAGTTAATTATGTAGAATATGGATTCCGAACGTTATTTTTAGACAAATGAATCTCAAGCTATACATCTGGGAGTAGATACGAGGCCTTTTCAGTGGGGAGGTTCTACACACAGATTTCTATGGGAACTCCAAGAAAGGAATTTTTTTTAAATTAATTAATTTGGCTGAAATTTAAAAAATAAAACTAAATATTAGGAAAATATCTGCACGCGTGGCCTATAAATAAACATGGAGGCCAATACAATCAATTTCATTACCAATCTTGGGAGAGAAAATTTCAATTCTGGTGAAATTGTTAAAGGTTTACATAAAATACCTCTATAAAAATATTAATTTAACATAATATATAATGGTTCCGAATGGTACACCTTCCTTCTTATGATGACGGGTTATAGAAATTGGTTTATATTTGAAGACCTTTGAGATGTTCTATGTTTCAAAAAAAACATCTCTATTATATATGTGTTCTACATTGTCTAATATATTAAACACAATAGATCCATTATTCAAGGACGAAGTGTAACCTACCTAATGACAATGCGTGTAAATATAAAGTTGAAAAAACTCTACATTACAAATGTTCCGATCAAGCCTTGACATTAATTTATTCAAAATACACCATTCATCATTCATTTGTTGCATATAATTCATTACTTTGTTTTTGTCATTCGCATGACGCCATCATATGGCGTTCTCGTAAATGATTTTTGCTCATTCTCAGATTTTTTTTATTTTCTTATTTATTGTTGTTTAATTGACTGCAATCACAACAGCAACCATTTTCGACAGTTGCATATTAATAATTCAATTTATTTATTTTATTTCTCTTCCACAGAGGCGTTCAATGCCATGACACAGTAAATGGCGCCCAATGTGATCCATGCCCCCTGGGCTTTGAGGGAGACGGTCGTTCTTGCACCAAACAGCGTAGTCCCTGCTTAGATGGACCCTGTCCAACTGGTGAGTTTTGAATGAAAAACAATTATATACAATTATTTTTTGTATTATGTGCATATTGCAAATATAGTATGTGTGTATACATATTTTAGATTCGCAATGTAATTTTGTAAAAATGATTTATAGTTGTAGTGAGTTAGAGGACATTCAGATGTAGTTCCTTTCCATTAATTTTCTAATGTAGTTCCAATAGTATACAAACTAGTCGCCCATAGTTATTTGAAGATAAGAACGGTACCAGAGCTATGCAAGTTAAAATAAAGGAGAATCGTCCAAATCACAGTCTCCTAGTGTAGAATTTTCCAATATTTTCTTTTTTCCAAATTAAAAAAAAAAAAACAAAAATTAGTCAACCCAATTATAATAATTAATGAGTGAATATAATGCTAAAAAAATACGTTTTGAGCCAACACGATATATAACGCATTGAGGGATCCAAATCGCTTGAAACTGTTAAGTCTCTGACAATTATCCTCATCGAAATAGGCAAAACACCCAAAAGGTCAAGGAGTATGATAAATAATAATCAGTATGGACCCTTGTAAAGAAAGCCCATCATGGAACCTGGACTTACCCTTTGACATGTTTGTGCAATCATGTTCATATTTATTGCCGCCCCTTCAAATATTTCATGTTGGGCTCAGGTCAGATAAATCTCCCATTGTGAAAATGATCGCGAAGAGATCAAGTTGGCCAATTATTGTGTTGAAGAATATCACAGAACTTCTTAAAGATAATTCTCAAAAAAGAAGATAATTTATAATGCTATCTATCCGCAAAAAGGTTTTCTATTCGTGTGTGATCCACGAAGAGCTTAACATATCGTCTTTAGTCACTTTAGTCTTCTGGCTCGCTAAAAATTGACTACTGGCATAGTTTCGGTGAATGCAATAACAAATCGTGCAAAATTTGCTTCCCCACAAACCTATGTCCAACACCGAAAAGAGTTGGACAGTGGCAGAATAAGTGCTCTACCGTTTCAGTTTCCTCCTCACCTTGACATAACCAGCAGTAATCGGAGCCGTCGTCACCCACTTAAAAGTCATGGTCTTTATGTTACAGTGACCCGTGATAATTCCCACCACAAGATTTAGGTCTGATTAGAGAGACATTGTATCCTCTTTCATTTAGCCAGTTGTGTTAAAATCTCCCGGGGTAATGTTTATGTATCACCTGAAAAAATGCCACAAGGGTAGCTTCAACGAGTTCTCCAAATCGATTGACGTGGATCCACGTCTTCGTATTCATCTGCTGGATTATTGTCAGAGATGTTTCAATGTCCTGGAACCCAACAAAGCTTAATGAACTTAATGGGCACTCCAAAACTGGGCACTCCAAAACTGCCATATATTTAATGGTAAATGAATTTGGAGCTTTCAGGCCGGCTTGACTATTGATATATATAAACACCGAACCGGTTTCTGTTTGCCAGCAGTTCTATGGTATTTTTGATAGCAAAGATTTCTGCCTGGAATGCGTTGCAGTTCTTGTTAAGTTTGAAGGAGTTTCTGATATTCACGCCCCGCACCCTTTCCACACTCCATCTTTGAAACATCGGTATAGACGGCTATACCAATCAAAATATGGGCGGTTACGGGTCCAGAAGTCACCAGCAGGTTGTCTAGTCATTCGTAGTTAAGCCGAGGTGATATGTTGTCATCGCCTTTAACCCCACCTCCTATTTTCTCCACATGTCTTAAAATAACAGAATGTGCACATTACTAAAGGCGCTATTGTTCAAGTTCTCAGTGCGCACCTAGCAGCCTGTTCTTCCACAAATAGATTTAAGGAATTTAAGTTATGTAGGGTGTCTAGTGCAGCTCCGAAATGCACCTTTAATCAATAGAGATGCTGCTCTTCGAATTTTATCACTGTTTATCTTGTAAGATATTTTCCGTGACGTTGTAAACCTTGATAGTTTAACAAGAGCTAGTTGCATTAGATCTAATATAGTTTGCAGGTATTTTTATTGAAATCAGCGGACCTCCGTCGTCAGCGTATGTCAGGATTTTTGTTGCGGCTCTTTCCAGATTTTCTAGTACGACATTTATAACCAAAAGCCACAGAAGAGACATAACACCAAACACACTATATCGCCTTTCGACTTCTGTTAAAAAACAGGGGCCTTTGACTCTATGGGGAAAGCGCTTGATTCCGTCGCTGGTGAGACAGTGATAGCCCTCTTTCCATCATGTTACTGGAGTTGTTCTTTTCAAACTTCCGCTTCATGTTGAGGTTCGTCCACCTAGTGAAGGATATTCTCGTAGAAAGCTCGTCAGGCTTATTGTAATTGTTTTAAAATAGTTTAAAATAAGTTGACAGTTTCAAAGCTGGGACTCAGTTAAAGGTTAAACTTCTCAGACACCGTCGAATGTACATTTTAATAACCTACACCTTGAAAAGGAGGGTATATTAACTTTGTCATTGCGTCTGTAATAGGGATGTTACAGACGTTACATCCGTCGTAGACCCCATAAAGTATATATATTCATATTCTACATAAAATTCTAAGTCGATATATATAACGGTACCACCCGACATTCGTTATTTTGATGATTTTTGCAATATTGTTCCATGGATTTGTCTAAAAATTTGTATTTGTAGGTCATAACGGGTTCTAGCTCCGAGACCGGAACATAGTATATTCAGGTTCACGCTTTTGTATAGCCCCTCCCGATATTCGGTATTTTGTTGATTTTTACCACATCTTCCACGAATTTGTCTAAAAATTGGTATTTGATAATGGGTTCTAGATCCGGTGGCAGAACATTGAATATTTAGGTAAACGTTCTTTTTATAGCTCACACAAAACGATACCCACCGAAATGCAGTATTTTTATAATCTTATGTAGTCACATTTACCCACGAAATTTTTTCAATTTTGGCATTTAATAAGATTTGGTTATAAAATTTATCATTTTTATCGAGACTATTTAAATGTTTGTCAATAGTGCATAGAATATTATAGAACACATACCACAAATTTTGTCTTCAAAATTCCAAAAATCCTTACAATGAAAATTTTGAGTTTGTTTCGTTAAAAAGCGTCTACCGTTTTTTTTTTTTTTTCATTTTAAATATTTCACAAATACCCCCCACCACGAATTCTATCAACTCAACCAGGAGCGCTTAGTTTTTTTTTAATCTTATCTTTTTCTGTGTTAACAATCTGAGGTGTTAAATTGATTTTCAAAACCACCAATTAGTGTCCAAAAAAGAGAAAAAAGGGTTTCGCCAAAATGATAAATTTTGGCAATTTTTTTGTCGGCTTTTTAAAGTTATTATAAAGTGATTTGTGAAGGAAACACAAAACACTCGTGACCCTATAATTTGGGATTTTATTTATCTTCACACTAACCATAACCACAACAACAACTGCTACAACTACAAATGGCTTAATAATTTACTAATACGCAATTTTGTGAATTTTTATAGGAAGCATTGTAGTGCCAAGCCAAAATGTCCAACATTATCAGAGGCACTATAGTTCGTCGCGTAAATATTCCGTAGTGACATCATAAGGCGAAGAATACTCATCGGTTTGAAACCCTTGAAAATCGAATTGCCCTTTTGCACTCTGAGCAGCTTAAATGGAATTCGGCTAAACTTACATATTTCCTCCAATGATATTCTTTTTCTACTTCTACATCTGGTCTATATGAATTTTAAATAGTTTTTTCCACCCTTTGTAAATTAAGCTTAATGAACAAAAAAAATAATTTTTAAATAGTACTTGGGGTTCGATTGTTAACAGCAAATAAACTTGAATAGAGTTGCCAACTTTTTAAACAATTTTCACAGAAAAATCGCATTTTCTTCAAATCGGATATTTTTATAAAAAAATATATATCTAAGGTATTTTATATTTTTTCTCTACTTTTAATTCTCTGTTCAAGTTTATTTATCTGATTTTCAATTGAACAACTTATTTAATTTTAATTTGCAATATCCAAACAATTCGTTCACTTCCCCACACACACACACAAACTCACTTATTTAACGTTATACAAAGAAAGTATTATTTTATCCCAAAATAAACGATGAAGGAGCAAAACGAATCATAACGAATATTAATAATAATAAAGAAAAAACAAAAACACAAAAAATTATATTTAATTTTGTAACAAATAATGCTTAATTATTTAATTATTATTTTTTCTTAACGTTAAGCCACACCAGAAAGTGGAGATTATATATTTCTTAAAAACAAAATAAAAACTAAGTCGAAAAAAAATATTTTGTAATTAATTTTTATATTGTCATGTAAAAAAATATGTTTTAGAAATTAACAATAAAAAGCGAACAAAAAATATATATTGGTCAAACAACAAAAAAATCTATTCTTTTTTTTTATTTCGAGAGGAAGTCAACACCAACGCCACTACCGGTTCCATTGTTGGCCAATAGAAGAAATGGTAAATATTTACCCATTTCATTTTCAAATACTTCTCATTTCATCTGACTTAAAAAATCATCATATTTTGGTGTTATGTCTCTGTATGTGTGTCTGTGTTTATTTTTACAAATAAAAATATATATGTTTCCATTTTCTGGTAAATAACACTAATGCAAAGAATATGTAATTGTAACTAACTCAAAATAAGTGCATGATATTAACAATTTCTCATAATAACGTCATAATTGTAATACTAACACATATGTAGATGTAGATATTAATATTTGTATGTGGTGGAAATGAATGGACCAAGTAATGTGGATATATGTAAGTGTTCTTCTTAGTTAATAACCCTGAGATCTTAGGACCAAATCGATTATCCTCAAAATTTATAGAAGTAAGGGGATGAGTTTAAACCTGTAAATACTGAATATTTTTATACCCTATACCTTGAAAAGGAGGGTATATTAACTTTGTCATTCCGTTTTGTAAAATCCCTAAATATTCGTGGTAGACCCCATGAAGTATATTTTCATAATCAGCATAAAATTCTAAGTCGATTTAACGTTGTCCGCCTATTAAAATCACGATCCAGCCCACATTATTTAACGTAGAGATTCAAAATTTGGCTAAACAATTTGTATTGTGTCTAGAATGATTGGTATTGAAAATGAGATATATCGGTCCACGATTAGGAATAGCCGCCGTATAACGGTACCTCCCGATATCGGATGTTTTGATAATTGTTTCCACATTTTTTTTCGCGGATTTGTCTAAAAAATTGAATTTGTAGGTTATAATGGTTTCTAGCTCCGGTGCCGAAATATTGTATGTATAGATCCACGTTTTCGTATAGCCCCCATTTAACGGAACCACCCGATATTCGGTTTTTTTTTAAATGATTTTTTGCCACATTTTTCCGTGGATATGTCTAAAAATTGGGAATTGTAGTTCGTAATGGGTTCTAATTGCGGTTGCGGGACATTGTATATATAGGTCCACGTTTTGGTACGGGCCCCAATATAAAAATACCTTCCTATAGTCGGCGTTTTGATGATGTTTGCCACATTTTTCCACGGATTTGTATAAAAATTGGTATTTGTGAGTATTGTGGGTTCTAGGTCCAGTTCACATATAACGATACCCACCGATACTCGGTATTTTTATAATCCTAGTCACACATCATCAGGAACAATACTGTTTAAACATATAACAAAATTTTACAAAATATCGCCAAGCTTCGACGCCGACCTTGTGTTGTTGCCATCTGTTTTGTCAGTGACAGCCTCGAGCTCGTTTTTTATTAAATTTACATTTGTAACAATATATAATAAAAGTCGAATTAAATATCTAAAAATCAAATAGTTGATATTTAATTTGTCTATGGATTGTCCCGTTTTTTGTATGACTCCCATACAACGGCTTCACCAACTTTATGGTTTCTTGAGTTTAACAGTATTATCCAAACGGCCTCACTGGTATTTTAAGTTTGAAGGAACACGTTTGAATTCAGATAATTTTATATAAAAATGTTTTCTTTACCCAAAGGTGGAGGGTTTTAAAAGTTCGGCCCGGCCGAATAGTTCCTACCAAAATACCAAATTGTAATTGAGTAAATGTAACTGGGGCCTTCAAAAAAACCGGTAAAAATCTCACACAAGTTATCAAAATAACGAGCATAAGGAGATACCTGCCTTACATAGGATTCAAGAATTTGAAAAACAAAACGCTCAAAGAAAGCGAAATAAGCATTCAATTTTCTTAAAATTTCACTCATACAAATATTTTTGCTAACGCAAGATCTGTTGTGAAGATGATATACATCTGCCAATTCCTTCTGGTACCTCTCCCACAAAGGATCACAATTTCCAATACTTATATCTATCATAGCTTGCGAAACAAGTAAGCGATTCTTTACAACTTGCTATATCTAAATATTTCTCTTAACCAGAAATCTAATATGAATATGTAATTTATCGAAATTTTTAGTTTCGCATAAAATTTGATATAAATGTTCGATTTCCTTCAAATGTTGCTCATACCATTATTTTTATCTGCATTAGATGACGTATATATATTTTACCTCACACATATTTCCACATTTTCCAAAAATTTGCACATATCTCATATAAAGTATAGGAAGTAGTCGATATAGTCCATATATGGCACGTTGTAATATTTTTATCAGTTTTAGGTCAGATACGAATTGGTCAATATTGGCCAACTGCTTCGGAACCTCCCCCATAAATGGTCAACAGTTAGAATGATCATAACTATTGGTCGGGGGTATACATATGTCAGCAAAACCGACTTATACTATTTCCCTTCTTAATAGTACAAGTTTATCACGATTTTAGCCGATGGAAATTTATGTTGATCATGAAGATCTAGACTTTTCGGGATTCCGAAAAATGTTTTGAAGTGTTATAATAATAATTAATTTGATATTTGATATACATAAAAAATGTTATGTTTAGAAGGAATTTGCTGCTAGAACTCCCTCAAAATTTGACTGACTTAGGAGCTTAAAGTAAAAGTAATAATAAAGGGCAAACGAAAGGGAAAACTAACGATATGTCCTTCCACTATATAAAATTTATGTCAATAATTTTTTTAAACTTGGACAATGATATTGTCTAGCATTTCACCAATATATTGTAGTATAACAGTGCAAAGAGCTAAACTAAATTTTAACCAACTTTTCGACCTTGTGCCACAAGTCATAACTTCGTCTTTTACTAATTCTTCTGAAACATGTTAAATAAATAACATAACTTGTAACGTTACATGCCGTAACGTTTACAGCTTCATTAACTCTACTAACGATTTGTTTAGTCAGTTTTTTGTAACAAATCTTCATGTTTTGTTAAACACTTGTGTAAATATGTTTGTAAATTTGTAATTTTGTAATTTTTTTCCAGCACGCTTGAGATTATTTTGACAATGATTGGTTATGTTTTTGTACAAAAAAATATACAAATATTTGTTTACAATTAGTTTATTGAGTGGAACGCGATACCGTTATGTGGGTTTGTTGTTCCGAATGTTTACTCATAACTATAGGTGCATGTTTTTTTATGTTTAATATTAAATAAATATTTAATATTAAAATCAAGGAAAAACTGAAGGTGAATTTCAAACAATTCAAATTTCTCAAAATTGTTTAAAGAAGTTCAAAATTCAGAAAAGAAAACGTGAACATATAATAATATTTTTTAAAGAGATCATTAATAACCCGATAAGGATAGAAAATAGTCTGGCGGGATCGACTTTATGATATACTAGACCACTATATATATATCTATATATATATATATATATATATATATATATATATATATATATATATATATATATATATATATATATATATATATATATATATATATATATATATATATATAGCAGAGCTACACGTAGGAAATATACGTCTCTATAGGAAGTGTACGTTCCTATAAGGAATTTTTGTAAAGTAAAAATACCAATAATGATCAGTACTGCTTTAGAGCCGGTTCATAAATTTCGTATCGAGTTCTACTAAATTTGACGAATATATTTTTCTGCTTCATGTGACGTATCGTACAAAATATTAGAGTGCGTTTATGACTTTCAGAAGTCTTTAACATAAAATCGGATAAAACATGTATTTGAGAGCTTTTCAGACCTTATTCTTGACGGAACTTGATTTTATTATTCAAACAAATTAGTCAAAAATCAAATGAGAGGAAATTATATATGATAGCTATACCTAAATTAAAACCGATTGCGACAGAATTTGAAAAACGTAATTTTGGGTTGTATCTGGTGCCTTCTGCTTATTAAGAAAAGCTTAAATCTATATATTAGAAGATGTTTGTCCACTCGTCTGCCATAGGTCCACATGCTGGGACGTAAGCAGAATTGCTATTCGAAACCATTTCGGAGAACCTTTAATAGGAAAAAATTAAATCTTCCATGGAAAAAATACAAACGAGTCAAAATTAGTAAATATTTCGGAGGGGTTCGGGTGCAAAACAATACCTCTCGATATTCGACATTTTGATAATTTTAGCCACATTTTTCCACGGATTTGTATAAAAATTGGTATTTGTAGTTCGCAATAGGTTCTAGCTCCGGTGACGGAACATAGTATATATAGGTCCACGTTTTGGTATAGTCTCCATATAATGGTACTTCCCGATATTGGGTATTTTGATGATATTTGCCACATTTTTCCCCGGATTTAAAAAAAAAAAAATTGGTATTTTTAGGTTATAATGGGTTCTAGCTCCGGTGCCGAAACATTGTATGTATAGGCCCCCATACAACGGTACATCCCGATATTCGGTATTTTGATTATTTTTGATACATTTTTCCACGGATTTGTTTAAAAATTGGTATTTGTAGTTCCATTAGGAAATATTTTTGCAGGATAACAATTTAAACACTTGAATTTCTCTCTTCCAGGCACCAAATGTACCGAATCGGTGATTGCTCCCTACTATCGTTGTGTTTCATGTGGTCGTGGAGAACAGCTGAATGGCACAACATGTGTAGATGTCAATGAATGTGAGCAATATCGGCCATGTGACATATTGTCAACTTGTGTTAATCAAAGTCCGGGCTTCCGTTGTGAGCCATGCCCCTTGGGCTATGAAGGAATGCATTCTTATGGTGAGTGTGAAACCTTGAAAGTTTTACAAGAAAAAAAATTAATTTTTAAATTTTTTTTGTCTTCTAGGTTACTATGCCGAATATTGGACCAATTCCTATCAGCGACAAACCTGTGTGGACATCAATGAATGTCAAACAGGTATGGCCCGATGTGAGGAGAACTCGGTGTGCGTTAATACCATTGTGAGTTTTAATTTGAAAACCTATAAGGCTATTTTCTTAAAAGTGTTTTATGTTTCCAGGGTTCGTATCAGTGCCACTGCCGCGAGGGTTATAAACACAATGGCACCCACTGTACTCCTGTGGCTGGCTTGTGCCCCGATGGCACCATTTGCGATAGCAATGCCATGTGTTTGCTTTCCGACAACTTTAAATATCGCTGCAGATGTAATGTTGGCTGGGCCGGCAATGGCTTTATTTGTGGTCGAGATCAAGATCTGGATAGCTGGCCTGATAATCAATTGCCTTGCTCGGATTTACACTGCAATCAAGACAACTGCCCCCATTTGCCCAATTCGGGGCAAGAAGATTCCGATCATGATGGCATTGGTGATGGTTGTGACGATGATGCTGACGGAGATTTGTTGACCAACGATAAGGATAATTGTCCTTTCGTCTACAACGCCGATCAGCTGGACTCGGATCATGATGGAGTGGGAGATGCCTGTGACAATTGTCCATTTGTGCCGAATCGCAAGCAATTGGATACGGACAATGATGGCCTGGGCAATGACTGTGATGAGGATATTGACAATGACACCGTGATCAATACCTATGATAATTGTATTTTGGTTGCGAACACAAATCAATTGGACTTTGATGGTGATGGTATTGGTGATGTCTGTGATAATTGTCCCAGTATTTCGAACCCATCGCAAGAAGATCGTGATAATGATTTGCTGGGAGATGCCTGTGATAGTGAAATTGATGGGGACAATGATGGTGTACAGGACAGTGAGGATAATTGTCCAATGGTTAGCAATGCCGATCAACTGGATACGGATAGTGATGGAAAGTAAGTACAAAGATCCTGAGGAGGACATTTTGAAAAAGGTGTTCATAGAAATGTTATGCCGAATTTACATAGCAAACTTAGTCAGTTCCGGAACTGCAAGGATATTAATTTTTTTTTGCTACGATAACGGATTATACCTTTATGATATCAAACAAGTACAAAAGAAGTAAGTTCGGCCGAGCCAAACTTTGAATACCCTCCACCATTTACAAGGAATTAGAAAATTTTCGAAAAAAAAAAAATAATAAAATCCATGGCAAATTTTGTTAAAATCTTAAAAATACCGAATATCGGAAGGAGCCGATATATGGGGGATATACGATATTGTGGACCTAAAAAGACAAATCTATTTCTGGGGGCAAAGTACTCACAAAGAACTCCTTATGCTGAATTTCAGACAACTCCGTTAGAAAATGGGGGCTATACGACATAGTGGACCTATATAGACCATTCTCTTTCAGGGAATAAAGTACTCGCAAGGAACTTCTTCTGTAGAATTTCAGACAATTCCGTTGAAAATCTTCCAAATAAATAGGATTCCGCCTGCCACTCTTTTAATAAACCATTGATTTTTGCTTTACATCCTTCAAAATTTAATTTTTAATATATTTTCTTTTTTTAGGGGTGATGCTTGCGACGACGATATGGATGGTGATGGCATACCCAATTATCGGGACAACTGTCCATTGGCCAAAAATCCTAATCAATTGGATTTGAATAGTAAGTACCTACGACACATTCCGCTACTTTTTCAAAATCTCCAATTTAATCTTCTTTTCCTTACAGACAATGGCAAGGGTGACCTTTGTGAATATGATGAGGATGATGATGGCACCCCGAACATAATCGATAATTGTCCAAATAATTCCATGATATACTCCACTGATTTCAGAGCTATTCGCTCGGTCATTTTGGATCCCGAAGGTGAAGCTCAGCTGGATCCCAATTGGGAGGTACATGCCAATGGTTCGGAAATTATACAAACCCTTAACAGTGATCCCGGTTTGGTTGTGGGTCATGATGCCTTTGGTGGTGTGGATTTCGAGGGAACCTTCTATGTTAACGATGACACCGATGATGATTATGTCGGTTTCATATTCAGTTATCAAAGTAATCGTAAATTCTATATTGTCATGTGGAAGAAGAATACCCAAACCTATTGGCACTCAACACCATTCCGTGCCTCCGGCGAACCGGGTATACAAATTAAACTGGTCGATAGTATAACAGGACCTGGATCAATGCTACGTAATAGTTTATGGCATACCGGAGATACCAAGGACCAAGTGCGTCTGCTGTGGAAAGATCCTAAAAATATGGGTTGGAAGGAAAAGACATCGTATCGTTGGTCATTGCTACATCGTCCAGCCATTGGCCTCATACGTTTGCGAATGTTTGAGGGAGATCGCATGGTCTTGGATTCGGGCAATGTTTATGATTCCACTCTGAAGGGTGGCCGCCTGGGTGCATTCTGTTTCTCACAGCAAATGATCATATGGTCGGATCTTATATACAAGTGTAACAGTAAGTTAAAAATATTTTTCAATATTTTGAGGGATTTATATTTAAATCAATTAATTTGATTACTTTCAGCTCGAGTTCCAGCCTTAGTTTACAATGAATTACCCGGCCATTTAAAACAAAAAGTGGAAATCGATAGATAATTTTGATATCTCTTAAGGGAAACAACGAATAAATGCTTCATGTTCCCGATATAACAGTTCAATGGGAAATTCAAGTTTAAATAAATCCTTTATTCTGCTGGAGGCGACGGTTTCAACTGTTATATTGCGACGAACTCTCGCAAGCAATTATTTTTTATAGATTTTGTATTTTGAGATTTTTTTTAGGTTAGAGTGGTGCTGCAACTCCTTGTCACTGTTATTTAAATAAGCAACTAGATTAATGAAACTAATTAAGCAAAGCACATATTGCCATAATTAATTGTTGTAAGTAATTAATAGATTTTATAAAACGAACAAATACGAATCCAATAAAATTGATCGATATTAACGAGATTTTTGTAACAACAATGAAATGTATAATAATTGCTTTGATGTGAAAGAACCTGGGTTTGTATGCAATTTGTAAAAGTTTTGTTTGTAAATATTTGAAATGAATTAAGAAGAATATTTAAGGAAATTGATCACAATATACTCACTCAAAATTAATAATGCCATCTGGTGTACAACACCAGAGCCAAAAAACAGAGAAACCTTAAGCATTGACACAAACCATTACTAATTATTACGATACCAGTATGACAAAACATACCCTAATATAACAGTTTAGAAATGTCACGTATTCGAACACATTTCAATATTCGTTTTTAGTAGACATTTATTTTATAACAGTTACGATCAACTGATATTTATATAAAATGTGTGGTTATTGCCTAAACTAACTAATAATAGAGACATTTTTTTCTAAACTGTTATACAAAGAGGCTATGCGGCTAAAAGAAAAATCATTTAAAAACTTAAAAAATTAAAAGAAATTTCTAAATTCACAGGAAAATCTAATTCCGAACTTCAAGTAAGAAATTTGACACTATTCCGGTAAATAATGTCGCTAAATCATCAAAATACCGAATATTGGAAGGTATCGTTACAGAGGGGCTTTACGAAGATGTGGAACTGCATACGAAAAATTGTTATCGTATGCTGTAGTGCTCATTATGAACTTCAAATGAGAAATTTTAAACTATTCAGGTTAATAATGTAGCTAAAATCGTCAAAATACAGAACATCGGAAGGTATCGTTATATACAAAGACCTAAATAGCCAATTCACGAACTTAAATGGCAAAATACATACGGATGCCTTTTAGCCTTCCATCTCAATTCGTTCAAAAGATATCGTAATTTCCACAGACAGATACGGACTTAAATCGCCTTATAATTATATGGAGTTGCCGAACTCACATACGTACCAGGCGCCCAGAATTAAGTAAAAAGTAACTTATCTGGTTCAAAAATCAATAGAAATCCCTTATTCCTAATATAACAGAAAATTCAAAAAATAACGGAAATCTGTTATTTTTGATGGCTTGGATGAGAGTTGCCGAACTCACAAAAGTACCAGGCGCCCAGAATAAAGTAGTAGGTAACTATCTGGTTCAAAAATTAACAGAACTCAGTTATTTCAAAAATAACAGAAATTTCAAAAAATATCGGAAATCTGTTATTTTTGATGGCTTGGATGTGAGTTGCTGAACTCACGAAAGTACCAGGCGCCCAGAATGAAGTAGTAGGTAACTATCTGGTTCCAAAATTAACAGAAATTCGTTATTTCAAAAATAAGAGAAATCTGTTATTTTTTACCAGGCGCCCAGAATAAAGTAGTAGGTAACTATCTGGTTCAAAAATTAACAGAATTCCGTTTTATTTCAAAAATAAGAGAAATTTCAAAAAATAACGGAAGTCACTCACAAAAGTACCAGGCGCCCAGAATGAAGTAGTAGGTAACTATCTGGTTCAAAAATTAACAGAAATCCGTTATTTCAAAAATAAGGGAAATTTAAAAAAAAAAATAACGGAAATCTGTTGTTATTTTTGATGGCTTGGACGTGAATTGCTGAACTCACAAAAGTACCAGGCGCCCAGAATAAAGTAGTAGGTAACTATCTGGTTCAAAAATTAACAGAAATCCGTTTTATTTCAAAAATAAGAGAAATTTCAAAAAATAACGGAAATCTGTTTTTTGATGGCTTGGGTGTGAGTTGCCGAACTCACAAAAGTACCAGGCGCCCAGAATGAAGTAGTAGGTAACTATCTGGTTCAAAAATTAACAGAAATCCGTTTTATTTCAAAAATAACAGAAAATTCAAAAAATAACGGAAATCTGTTATTTTTGATGGCTTGGATGTGAGGTGCTGAACTCACAAAAGTACTAGGCGCCCAGAATGAAGTAGTAGGTAACTATCTGGTTCAAAAATTAACAGAAATCCGTTTTATTTCAAAAATAAGAGAAATTTTTAAAAATAACGGAAATCTGTTACTTTTGACGGCTTGGATATGAGTTGCTGAACTCACAAAAGTACCAGGCGCCCAGAATTAAGTAGTAGGTAACTATCTGGTTCAAAAATTAACAGAAATCAGTTTTATTTCAATAATAAGAGAAATTTCAAAAGGAAATCTGTTATTTTTGATGAGTTGCTGAACTCACAAAAAGTACCAGGCACCCAGAATGAAGTAGTAGGTAACTATCTGGTTCAAAAATTAACAGAAATCCGTTTTATTTCAAAAATAAGTGAAATTTCAAAAAATAACGGAAATCTGTTATTTTTGATGGCTTGGATGTGAGTTGCTGAACTCACAAAAGTACCAGGCGCCCAGAATAAAGTAGTAGGTAACTATCTGGTTCAAAAATTAACAGAAATCCGTTTTATTTCAAAAATAAGTGAAATTTCAAAAATAACGGAAATCTGTTTTTTGATTGGCTTGGGTGTGAGTTGCCGAACTCACAAAAGTACTAGGCGCCCAGAATAAAGTAGTAGGTAACTATCTGGTTCAAAAATTAACAGAAATCCGTTTTATTTCAAAAATAAGTGAAATTTCAAAAAATAACGGAATCTGTTATTTTTGATGGCTTGGGTGTGAGTTGCCGAACTCACAAAAGTACTAGGCGCCCAGAATAAAGTAGTAGGTAACTATCTGGTTCAAAAATTAACAGAAATCCGTTTTATTTCAAAAATAAGTGAAATTTCAAAAAATAACGGAAATCTGTTATTTTTGATGGCTTGGATGTGAGTTGCTGAACTCACAAAAGTACCAGGCGCCCAGAATAAAGTAGTAGGTAACTATCTGGTTCAAAAATTAACAGAAATCCGTTTTATTTCAAAAATAAGTGAAATTTCAAAAAATAACGGAAATCTGTTTTTTGATTGGCTTGGGTGTGAGTTGCCGAACTCACAAAAGTACTAGGCGCCCAGAATAAAGTAGTAGGTAACTATCTGGTTCAAAAATTAACAGAAATCCGTTTTATTTCAAAAATAAGTGAAATTTCAAAAAATAACGGAATCTGTTATTTTTGATGGCTTGGGTGTGAGTTGCCGAACTCACAAAAGTACTAGGCGCCCAGAATAAAGTAGTAGGTAACTATCTGGTTCAAAAATTAACAGAAATCCGTTTTATTTCAAAAATAAGTGAAATTTCAAAAAATAACGGAAATCTGTTTTTTGATTGGCTTGGGTGTGAATTGCCGAACTCACAAAAGTACTAGGCGCCCAGAATAAAGTAGTAGGTAACTATCTGGTTCAAAAATTAACAGAAATCCGTTTTACTTCAAAAATAAGTGAAATTTCAAAAAATAACGGAAATCTGTTATTTTTGATGGCTTGGATGCGAGTTGCTGAACTCACAAAAGTACTAGGCGCCCAATAACGGAAATCTGTTATTTTTGATGCTTTGGATGTGAATTGCTGAACTCATAAAAATACCAGGCGCCCAGAATGAAGTAGTAGGTAACTATCTGGTGCAAAATTCAACAGAAATCCGTTATTTCAAAAATAAGAGAAATTTTTAAAAATAACGGAAATTTTTGACGGCTTGGGTGTGAGTTGCCGAACTCACAAAAGTACCAGGCGCCCAGAATAAAGTAGTAGGTAACTATCTGGTTCAAAAATTAACAGAAATCCGTTTTATTTCAAATATAAGTGAAATTTCAAAAAATAACGGAAATCTGTTATTTTTGTTGCTGAACTCACAAAAGTACCAGGCGCCCAGAATAAAGTAGTAGGTAACTATCTGGTTCAAAAATTAACAGAAATCTGTTTTATTTCAAAAATAAGTGAAATTTCAAAAAATAACGGAAATCTGTTATTTTTGATGGCTTGGATGTGTGTTGCTGAACTCACAAAAGTACCAGGCGCCCAGAATAAAGTAGGTAACTATCTGGTTCAAAAATTAACAGAAATCCGTTTTATTTCAAAAATAAGTGAAATTTCAAAACATAACGTAAATCTGTTATTTTTGATGGCTTGGATGTGAGTTACTGAACTCACAAAAGTACCAGGCGCCCAGAATAAAGTAGTAGGTAACTATCTGGTTCAAAAATTAACAGAAATCCGTTTTATTTCAAAAATAACAGAAATTTCAAAAAATAACGGAAATCTGTTATTTTTGATGGCTTGGATGTGAGTTGCTGAACTCACAAAAGTACCAGGCGCCCAGAATAAAGTAGTAGGTAACTATCTGGTTCAAAAATTAACAGAAATCCGTTTTATTTCAAAAATAAGTGAAATTTCAAAAAATAACGGAAATCTGTTATTTTTGATGGCTTGGATGTGAGTTGCTGAACTCACAAAAGTACCAGGCGCCCAGAATAAAGTAGTAGGTAACTATCTGGTTCAAAAATTAACAGAAATCCGTTTTATTTCAAAAATAAGTGAAATTTCAAAAAATAACGGAAATCTGTTATTTTTGATGGCTTGGATGTGAGTTGCTGAACTCACAAAAGTACCAGGCGCCCAGAATAAAGTAGTAGGTAACTATCTGGTTCAAAAATTAACAGAAATCCGTTTTATTTCAAAAATAAGTGAAATTTCAAAAAATAACGGAAATCTGTTATTTTTGATGGCTTGGATGTGAGTTGCTGAACTCACAAAAGTACCAGGCGCCCAGAATAAAGTAGTAGGTAACTATCTGGTTCAAAAATTAACAGAAATCCGTTTTATTTCAAAAATAAGTGAAATTTCAAAAAATAACGGAAATCTGTTATTTTTGATGGCTTGGATGTGAGTTGCTGAACTCACAAAAGTACCAGGCGCCCAGAAGAAAGTAGTAGGTAACTATCTGGTTCAAAAATTAACAGAAATCCGTTTTATTTCAAAAATAAGTGAAATTTCAAAAAATAACGGAAATCTGTTTTTTGATTGGCTTGGGTGTGAGTTGCCGAACTCACAAAAGTACTAGACGCCCAGAATAAAGTAGTAGGTAACTATCTGGTTCAAAAATTAACAGAAATCCGTTTTATTTCAAAAATAAGTGAAATTTCAAAAAATAACGGAATCTGTTATTTTTGATGGCTTGGGTGTGAGTTGCCGAACTCACAAAAGTACTAGGCGCCCAGAATAAAGTAGTAGGTAACTATCTGGTTCAAAAATTAACAGAAATCCGTTTTATTTCAAAAATAAGTGAAATTTCAAAAAATAACGGAAATCTGTTTTTTGATTGGCTTGGGTGTGAATTGCCGAACTCACAAAAGTACTAGGCGCCCAGAATAAAGTAGTAGGTAACTATCTGGTTCAAAAATTAACAGAAATCCGTTTTATTTCAAAAATAAGTGAAATTTCAAAAAATAACGGAATCTGTTATTTTTGATGGCTTGGGTGTGAGTTGCCGAACTCACAAAAGTACTAGGCGCCCAGAATAAAGTAGTAGGTAACTATCTGGTTCAAAAATTAACAGAAATCCGTTTTATTTCAAAAATAAGTGAAATTTCAAAAAATAACGGAAATCTGTTTTTTGATTGGCTTGGGTGTGAATTGCCGAACTCACAAAAGTACTAGGCGCCCAGAATAAAGTAGTAGGTAACTATCTGGTTCAAAAATTAACAGAAATCCGTTTTACTTCAAAAATAAGTGAAATTTCAAAAAATAACGGAAATCTGTTATTTTTGATGGCTTGGATGTGAGTTGCTGAACTCACAAAAGTACTAGGCGCCCAGAAAAAAGTAGTAGGTAACTATCTGGTTCAAAAATTAACAGAAATCCGTTTTATTTCAAAAATAAGTGGAATTTCAAAAAATAACGGAATCTGTTTTTTGATTGGCTTCTTGGGTGTGAGTTGCCGAACTCACAAAAGTACTAGGCGCCCAGAATAAAGTAGTAGGTAACTATCTGGTTCATAAATTAACAGAAATCCGTTTTACTTCAAAAATAAGTGAAATTTCAAAAAATAACGGAAATCTGTTTCCGTTTTATTTCAAAAATAAGTGAAATTTCAAAAAATAACGGAAATCTGTTATTTTTGATGGCTTGCTGTTATTTTTGTTGGCTTGGATGTGAGTTGCTGAACTCACAAAAGTACCAGGCGCCCAGAATAAAGTAGTAGGTAACTATCTGGTTCAAAAATTAACAGAAATCACAAAAGTACCAGGCGCCCAGAATAAAGTAGTAGGTAACTATCTGATTCCAAAATTAACAGAAATCCGTTATTTCAAAAATATGAGATATTTAAAAATATAACGGAAATCTGTTATTTTTGATGGCTTGGATGTGAGTTGCCGAACTCACAAAAGTACCAGGCGCCCAGAATAAAGTAGTACGTAACTATCTGGTTCAAAAATTAACAGAAATCCGTTATTTCAAAAATATGAGATATTTAAAAATATAACGGAAATCTGTTATTTTTGATGGCTTGGATGTGAGTTGCCGAACTCACAAAAGTACCAGGCGCCCAGAATGAAGTAGTACGTAACTATCTGGTTCAAAAATTAACAGAAATCCGATCTGTTGTTATTTGGCTTGGATGTGAATTGCTGAACTCACAAAAATACCAGGCGCCCAGAATGAAGTAGTAGGTAACTATCTGGTGCAAAATTCAACAGAAATCCGTTATTTCAAAAATAACAGAAATTTCAAAAAATAACGGAAATCTGTTATTTTTGATGCCTTGGATGTGAGTTGCTGAACTCACGAAAGTACCAGGCGCCCAGAATGAAGTAGTAGGTAACTATCTGGTTCAAAAATTAACAGAAATAAGTTTTTTCAAAAATAAGAGAAATTTAAAAAAATAACGGAAATCTGTTATTTTTGATGGCTTGGATGTGAGTTGCTGAACTCACAAAAGTACCAGGGGCCCAGAATAAAGTAGTAGGTAACTATCTGGTTCAAAAATCAACAGAAATCAGTTATTTCAAAAGTAACAGAAATTTCAAAAAATAACGGAAACCTGTTATTTTTGATGGCTTGGATGTAAGTTGCCGAACTCACAAAAGTACCAGGCGCCCAGAATAAAGTAGTAGGTAACTATCTGGTTCAAAAATCAACAGAAATTCGTTATTTCAATTATAAGAGAAATTTTTAAAATTAACGGAAATCTGTTATATGATCCGTTATTTAAAAAATAAGGGAAATCTGTTATTTTCGGTGGCTGAACTTACAAAAGTACCAGGTGCCCAGAATGAAGAGTAAACACGTACTGAGGATTCGAGTTGCATAGTTTAAAGTGGTAAGAAAAGTCGAGTGAGAACAACGAAGTCGTTCGTAGGTTGGGAGTAAGAATGATATGACCAAGAGGGAAATAAAACTACAGTTCTGTGAATTAAATTTGTTACCATTTTATTTATTAATTGTGTTTTTTTTTCTCAGTGAACATAGATTATTTTAAACTACACAACTAGCAAAAAATATATATGTTTATTATATTGTTGTTGTTGTTTTTTTTTTTGTGTTTATAACAATTTTGTATGAATGACCACAATAAAGTGGATAACAAATGAAAATGTTTTGTTGTTGTTGTAACTTACTATCAGATAATATCACCAATCGTTTTTAGTAACAATTCTAATATAAAATTGGGCAAGTGGATTCCCATCTTCCTGGTTGGCTCCAGGATGACAATTGCTATGTTGTTGTTTTGTGCGGTGGATTATATCATTGGTTTGAATGGTGGATTCTCAATAGACTGATTTTTATATTTATTGTCATTTTATTTGTATGTATATATCGAATACTTATACTATTAAGTATTTACACAATAGAAAGGGAAAACATGGTTATAATAGAGTTTATATTTGGCTATAGGTTGATAGTATCTGCTGGATGATGCATATAGATGAATGATAAATGTGAAGACGTTGGAAATTTAGTTTGGAGTTTTTTTTTTTCGATTTTTTATTTTTTTTTTTTATTAAATTGAACTTAATTTTGGCCGAAAAGTATACAAATATATTATAAATATATATAAAAAATACAATGAGAGTGTAGACCAATCATGAGTTGTTTTTTTTTCCATTATTTTTGTATAAACTTAAAATAATTTGAGTTAATATTAAAAAAAATGTTATAAAGCAAGGGATGTTTACTTTTCGAAATGTGATTTCCAATACTTGCTAAGGTGGTTTGAAATTGTTCTTCTTCTTCTTGTGGATCTATCTTAAATTCTAATTTGTTTGCATTTTCTCTAGATTTGATTAAATTAGTTTTAATCATTCATTTGGGTTACATCTATTGCATTTAATTCTGTTTCTTCTCAACCAATCATAATCAATTGTATGAAAATATTTACATTGTAAATATTTGGTCATGCTTTAAATTTTTGAACAACAACGGCAAGGATGCGGTGTTATAGCTGCCGAGAAAATTGGGTTTTGTGAGATAAACCCATTTTTGCAGGATTTGTATTCGAAAAAATACACCCATCGGGAGTACAACTTCAGATCTTTTTGCTGCAACATCGCATCCGTATTAAAGACTAAAGCACATGTTGTTGTTGTAATTTGGTAGAATTGGGATCTTATTGCTTTGAATTTGTTTCTAATCTGTTTTGTTTTGTTTGTTGTTTTTTAAGGAAATTCGTTTAACAATGATGTTTGTTTCATCCAATGGCAGCACTGGGGCAAACACACATTCGCATAAAAGCTAAATTAGAATTACTTGTTGTGTTGTGGTTTTCTTTTTGTTGTTCTTGTTTCAAACACATTTAGAAGACAATGTAGACGTGCTTTGGTTTTTTTTTTTGGAATGGAGCGAACACATCATCTGTCTGTACAAAAAAATTAATGCTAGCACGTCGCTCTTAAGTTTAGATTACAATTAGATGGGGCTATGATGTCCTTACTAAACTTGGCTACTTGTTACGAATCATAATCTACTCCTTTTCATGGCCATTGGCGCCCAATTCTAACAGTTCATGGGGTTCGGCATTTAGCTGGAGAAGAGATAGAAACAAAATTGTTTTAAAATACAATTTGTAAGGATCGTTTTAAATTATACTCACCCTATCCACACTTTGTAGATCCTTTTTAGACAAATGATTAACTAAAATGGTGCCCAAGGCATCGCACATGACATTAATGGTGGTACGGAAACGATCACTGGAAAAAGGGAAAATTTAATATTTTCACCAATTTGAATGGGTTAAAGAATTTATGATACTTACAGCAACCAATCAACGGCAATGATCAGTGAAACATCCTTGGCTGGCAGGCCCACAGTATCCAATACCATGACCATTGTAACAAGACCAGCTTGTGGTATACCAGCAGCACCAATGGAGGCTGCTGTGGCCGTAATACTCACAGCCACAATATTGCCGAATGTATAGTCCACCTTTCGGAATTGGGCAATGAAGAGAGCCGCCACTGCCTCATATAAAGCAGTACCGTCCATGTTGATGGTGGCACCCACGGGAATTACAAAACGTGTTACACGAGGATCAATACCCATGCCGTCCAGACACTTGATGGTCAAAGGCATGGTGGCCGAACTGGAACCGGTACCAAAAGCAGTGGCCAGCACCTGACTGAGTTTGGCCACATAACGGAAGGGCAGTGTACGGGTACCCAAGAAGAAGATGACAGCAATGGTACCTAAAATTTGAATTTTTTTATTAATGCTTCTCATTTGAAATCCAAAAATTAATTTATACAAACTTACCAAATCCATGCAATATAAGACCCAACATTACCGTCAAGAAATACCAACCCAGAGATTGAATGGTTGAGGCAATCGATTCCATCTCAATAATTTTGGCAGCAATCAAGAAAGCCACACCCAAGGGAGAAATCCTGGAATTAATTTAGAAATTGTACATCTAATTACATTTGAAATATCATTGAAAGAGGGGGGTTTGCTTACCAAATAACCCAGGATGTAATGATCATCATAGCCTCACTCAAGGTGGAGAAGAAATCCTGCAACAATTGACCCTTCTCACGCATACGACCAATGGTTGTACCCAAAATAATACTGAACATCACCAAACCCAAGACATTGGAACCATCACGTTTGCTCTCCTTGAAAGGCCACATATTGAGGGGTACTGGAAATAAAAAAGGAGGTTAAGGTTAGTAAAGAAATGCTAAATGAAAGTGTAATTATACTTACAGGGTTCGGTTGCCGTTTTGTTTTCTTCTAGCTTGGTTTGATACTGAAATAGATAAAGATGAAAATTAGTACAAAATTATCCATGGAAAAATAACATAGGAAAATACTGGGATTTTTATCTGGTTCACAAAAACAAAAAGGGAGAACAATATCTCGAAAATTTAGTAACTATACTCTTTAGTTTTCTCAAGTTATTCCTTGTGGTTTTGAAAGGCATTTACACATTCCCAAGAGACTGTTTGAATAATAAAATGAAAAAATGGTGTCCAAATATTTAGAGATTTCATTTCAGATATTCAATATTTGGGATTTAAGAGGGTGATTGTTATAAAAAAAATTGATATAGCCCTCATATGACGATAATTTCTGATTTCCTATATTATATTTAATTTCCCAGCCACAATTACCAACCGAAAGAACTGTAATTTGGTATTTTGAGTAAGGAACCTGTTTTGAAGGTTCCAGATGTATTTTAAAACCCTTATTAGTTGAAATAGTATTGTGACAGGTTTTTAGAAGATATAAAATCTCCATTCCGAGAATGTTTAACATAGGTCCACAAGTTCCAAACGATTTAGCTGCCATTAGACTCTGTGTAAAAAATATTTTCCAGAAAAAAAAAACATAAAAATTAGTCCTGTATTTGGTACAGTTCTCATGAGAGGTCTGATGGTATATTTCGAAACTGGAGGTCAAAACTTAGATATAGCTCCCATATATATCTCCGTCCGATTTGCCTTTTATTGTCCTCCAAGCGTGTAATATCAGTCCAAATAGTATGGAATTTTGCGCATACGACCGAATTAAGTCTGGAATTAAGTATGCCAAATTTGAAATCGGTTCAGATATAGCTATAGCTTCCATATATATATATTGTCCATCCGATTTTATATTTTTGTTCTACGCAGGCGTAATATACAATCTACAAAAACGATATTTGGGGAAATACATCAAATACAACACAGAAATACCTTTCCCAAATGTTATCGAGATCGGTCCAGATTTGGATCTAGCTCCCATATATATAGTTATACCTCCCTAATTTCGTTATTTTGGCGATTTAAGCGACATTATTCACCAGAAATGTTTCAAATTTGGTATTTGAAGTTCGTAATGGGTACTACAGTCTAAGAAAGAAAATTGTCTGTGCAGGTCCACGTCTTCGTATAGACCCCATATCCCTGTACCTTCCGATATTCGGATATTTGGTTGATCTTAGCGACATTATTTACCAGAATTGTTTCAAATTTGGTATTTGAAGTTCGTAATGGATACTACAACCTGTTGCAGAAAATTGTCTGCGCAGGTCAACGTCTTCTAATGGGCCCATATAACGGTACCTCCCGATACTCGGTATTTTCATGTTTTTGTGCGACATTATTCACCATTATTGTAACAAATTTTGTATATAAAGTTCGTAATTGGTACTATTGCAGAAAATTGTCTGTGCAGGTCCACGTTTTCGTATAGCTTCCATATAATGGTACCTCCTACATTTCGGTATTTTGAAATATTTAGATTCTCCTCGCAAAGTATATTCTACGTTAGGGCCACATTTTGGTATAGTCTCCCATACAACGGTGTTGTCAGATTTTCGGTATTTTGAAGGTTAGTGTTTTTAGCCCCAACTTTCAACCAATACATTATAATTTGAAATTTTGAGTTCTCAGTTGGTGATTATACTCCTTGTAAAGGAAGTTTAATGTACATTTTTAATTTTCTTAGTGGGTAGATTAACACTTTCAAGGCATTTTGATGAAATCCGTTTTTCTCTGAAGTCATATTTTCAATGGTGAAGGAAAAACAAGTTCCACCCGGAGAAATTTAGCTCTTTCAGATATGTAGGATTAAGAATGTCAACCTAAAACAATTTGTATTAAATAAAATTGTAGTTGGTTGGCTAGAAGAAAATAATACTCAAGGGGCTTATGCGAAAACAATTCCTAACAAATGTAGGTAAATTTGAGCCACAACACAGGATTCTTAGTATTTGTTATTTGGGCGGTTTCAAAACCCCATATGAATCTATTACGGTTATTTATTTTGTAATGCCATGTTTACGTTAGAACTTTTTTTAAATCAAAATCCAGTGGGTTAACCCTCATATATATAAACGTACTTTAAGTCCCACTAAGCTGTTGTATCAAACCCTGTCTTTGAGAATTTGACATGGTAGACGTTTATGATTTATTTAGCATAAAACGTAATTTTTTAAAGCTCTAAATCCTCAATTTTTTGTAAAGACCCATTTATTTCTGTCAGTCGTAAATTTCAAAGAAAATGTCACATTAAATCTAGTCTTTTTCTAGTTTCGAAAAATTTACGTACAAAACATATGTAAATTATGCTACGTTTTTTGGCCATTATGTTCTATTGTATGACAAAAGCGGCTGTCCGTCTGTCTGTCGGTCTTTAATTAAATCACCAAAGAGTGATGTAAATGTCAACGACACAATTTAAAGTTTCTCTTGACCGGTGAGGGCCACGTTCTCCGTTAATAATTCAATTTTGCCAGAAAAGTAACGAAAATTTATGTAATCTGCTTTACTTAATTTAAAAGCAGAGAAGATAGATAAAAATCCTCCGTTGTTTACTCAATTAAATCTAAGAAATAATGTGTGATGTGATGGGAGCATCTCGCTCATCTCATTGTGAGACCCTAAAATTGTCATTAATACGCACTAAACTTCAAATCTAGTAGCGAAAAAATTGCAATGGAAACGAGAACTAAATCACAGCCTTTAATTGATTGATGGCCGGTTGGGTCTCAGAGTCATCACCCAGCTACAACAAAAAAAGTGTATCGTGGTCATGATCTCCTCCGCTTAAATTTAATCAGATAATAACAAGTGACAAGTGTTAGGAGGTTATACGGGGGATGGGTGGTGTTGGTGGTGATGTTTCAGATCCATTTGTTTGCAAAAAAAAACCTTAACTGAATGTACGTAATAATCGTGTCAAACAGCATAAAACAAATGTGTGTGGACTTTGGAGACCTTAAATTGAATGATTGCTAGTGACACCATCATCATCATCATCACCAACATCAACAGCAGTAGCTTGCGCCTAGCATTTCACATATCCAACACATTTGGACCCTTGTCACAATTGTTTTCGAACCGAGAAATGTTGATGGTCCGTTCGCAAACAAACAAAGAATTTTTAAAGTAGGTGTTTCCGATTTTTTTTCAACACAAAAATATGATTTCAACATACCTGCTGTAGGGTGGCTCCCACAATGTTATCGGTGAACATGTTTCTGTAAAAAGGATAATGGAAAATTTAATAAAATCAAAGGATTTTAAAATTATTTTACAACCTTACCTTACTAAATCCATAAGGGTATCGGGTGTCATCACCTTGGAGGCTTCTTCTCCTGTCTTCTCTGACCTTTCGCTTGTGACAATTTGAGCACCATCACCGGGCCGAATGGTGGTCACCAAACAAATACCCAATATCACAGCAGATATGGTTGTTATGAAGTAATAGCAAATAGCTCTGAAATAAGGAAAGGACATAAGTTTTCATACGATCATCATTTAATATTAATATTAGAAAATATTAATTGATAGAAGAGTTTAGGCGATGTTATGTCGAAAATTTACTGCCTTATTCAAAAAATCAGTAATTTTTAATAGAAACATTTTGAAAACGTCCTTATTTGCATGATATTGAAAATGGGCTGCAACTAAAATTCGAAAATTCCTAATGTAGGGTGAGATGAAAAAACTGCAACCAACTTTAGACTGCTGCCATTTCTAAGCCATTAAAATTTTAAAAATTAAAATTATTCCAGTGACACCTTTTTATACTATGTACAAGCGTACAAAAGCATTTTGGCGTCGCAATGGCCGAAAAATGGATCGTGAGCTTAACATATCGCAATATTCCATTTGGCAAATATTGAAAAATGAGCTTGGGGTAGAGCCATTAAATTTTCAAAATGTGCAAGAACTTACACCGCAACAGAAGGAAAATAGACTCAAACTGCCAAATTTAGCTTTCTCCGATGAAAAAACATTCGTTGTCCAGCAGTTTGTAAACAACCAAAATGATCGTGTTTACTTGCCAAAAAGGTCAGCTGAAAATGTGCACCTCCGGTTGGCCACCAGAACTCAAGCGCCGACCAGCCGATGGTCGCTCTCCGCTCGTATTAATCGACCGTGGCAACAGAATTAATGACGAATATTATCGCGAAAATATTCTGGAACGAGCCACCCAAGAATGGTTACAAAATGAGGTTCCTTGCTTCATTTCCAGCGCACAATGGCCACCAAAATCTCTGGATACCAATCCGTTGGACTATTGTGTCTGAAGTATTTTGGAAAGCAAGGTCCCGATATTTGTGTCAATTATTTAACCTGATTTTTTTCTTTTGGTTTTTGAGGTTCGTAATAAATACCACCACCTATGACAGAAAATTTCCTATACAAGGCCACGTCTTCGTATAGCCTTCATATAACTGTATCTCCCGATGTTGGTATCTCCCGATGTTGGGTATATATCTTCGAAATTGCTTCAAATTTGGTACTTGGTTTTGACAATGGCTACCATCTTCTAAGACGGATTTTCTACACAGTTCTGGATAATGGTTTTACCTACACTTTTTAACGGAATCACATAATTTTTTTTTGGAGTTCGAAATAGGTATTACATTTTATATAATGATCCTATTGACATATTTATTAAGTGTTATTTTTCAAATGGTGGAGGGTTTTAAATATTCCGGCCGGCCGAACCTTCGCCACACTGTGGTATAGATTATTATGCTTTTGGGCATTTGAAACGAAATAGACCCATAGTTCCTTTTCTCCATTGAAACGCATTCTGAGTCGATTTGTGCATGTCCGTTTGTACAGGTCGAATTTAATGTCTGGTTGAGATTTTCCAGAAAACAATTGTTTGCCCCAAGGATGAACCATATTGAAATTGGCAATAATCCATCCAAATTTAGATATATCCCCAATTTTGTTGAGCGTCAAATGTGTAACATTCATCCAAATAGAATGGATTTCGGCATATCCGACCGAATTCAGCCTAGAAGCCTGTACTTCAAATTTGGTGCAAATTGGTTTAGATATAGCCATAGCTCTCCTATACATGTATCATCCGAATTGGTGTTTAAGTTGCTTACATTCGTAATATGCACTTCATAACAATGATATTTGGTATCAGATATTAGATACAGTCCAGAAATAGCTTTGTCAAATTTCACAAAAGTCGGTTCCGATTTGGATATAGCTCTCATATTTTCATCTCTACCATTCATCTTTACGATTTTGTGTTTAGGTTCCCCACATTCTTAATATGCACTCCATAACAATGATATGTAGTATCAGATATTAGATACAGTCCAGAAATAGCTTTGCCAAATTTCACAACAGTCGGTTCAGATTAACTATCGATTTTACGTGTAGTGTATACCAAATGGTTAAAATCAGGCCAAATGATGTTGAACTTGCAAATACGACCAAATCAGCCTAGGAGAAGCCCCCGAAGCAACTACAAATATTTCTAAGATTTTTAACTGTCTTGTCTTCTTATTTAATATTTATGTCGATTTCATACAAAATCCTAAACAGATCATGTTGGTTAAGCGCATGTTAATGTTATTTCCGACTATAGAAATCAATAGGACATGCTTTGTAAATGGTTAGATATTCTGCCGGAGCACCTGGACTATAAAAAAAGACATATTTACAAATTTTCTTGTTACATTTTAAGCACGATAAACTCGTTAATATTGTGAAAAATTATCTCAAAACCGTATCAAAATAATATTTTCACATTGGAAACTGGGCAACCAGAATATACATGATAGTTGAGTAATTAATCACATTTTCACCAGGGTCTAATTTTTTTTAATATACAATGAACCTTTTTCATTTTGAATATTCACAGAACCAAAGCCCCAGTATTAAGATAAATACTTTTTCCACAATTTTTCACTTCAAAAATGCTAATTTTTTAAATTTCTTTAATTCTAGGTTTAGCATTAAATCTGTAAACAATCACGCACTTTTAACTAATTAAAAAAATAATGACTTACCTGGTGGCAATTTTGCTGGACATGCTTAAGTCCAGACCGCCAATGGCACTGGTAATTGAGGACACCAACAATGGCACAATTAAACATTTTAACATTCTGTTAGAAATTGAAAAAAATACAATTATTTTCCAACTATTTTCCAGGACACTTGCCGCTCAAAGACTCACCTTAAAAATATTTCACCAGGAAACGATATGTACATAATCTCTCTTTTCGACCATTCGCCTGTCGAGTTTTTGATAATAAAACCCACCAGACCGCCAGCAAAGACACCGATCAGTGTAAGGATGGTTAAGAGATTTTCGCCCACAAAACCGCGACATTTCGATTGAAGTTTTGGTCGCGTCATTTCAATACCTTTGTGTGAGCAATTGGCGGCAGCAAGCGAAGAACCAACAATTTCCAAAACGACTAGACTTTCAAAGTCTAGCAGAGTTTAAAAATAATACAAATTTAAAAACAATTATAAACACTTTGTATTAAAATTATTAAATTTCGTGGTTTAACCAGGTTCGGCGAGTTGTTGATGTTAGACACTTTCCACTTGAAAAATTAAAAACAGGATCTAAAATTAAATTAAAAATATTATTAATTGTTATTCTTTTTCCAATTTAATATCCTTTAAATAATATTTATTTTTTAACACACCGAAAAAATTCAACGCGTGGTTTTCATATGCGGCAGATTGCGTTCTGGGGTTGGCGAAAAAAGTTCTAGATACGCGAACGTTTCAAAATCAACTAATTCGGATAAATGCTTGGCGCACACAAAATTCACTAAACTGCTTGACAAAATCCATTAGTTTTGGCGCTCGCCAATTCTAAAGCAAGCTCTTTGTATACTGCCCTCTCTCGCTCGCTCTCTCTATTTGTAACACAGATCATTTGCAATTTTTCCGTAGCTTTTGATAATAGCAACCCCTATAAAATTTAGTTTTTTTTTTGTTATAATCTCTATTGTATTTTACTCTCTCAAATTTAAAAAAAAATCGAAAAGCAAAAGCTTTTTGGGTTTGCTGAATTTCGTATTTGCTGTTGTTTCTGTTTTTAGTTCATTCAGACATTTGCAACTTCATTATGATGTTCATGATCGCTGTAATATGTGGAAGATACCGAACAAATGGTTGAGATCACGTTCAAGTTTAACTATGCGAACAGAATGCGTACACTGTTGTAAAACAACAATAACAACAACAAACAGCTTCAACCGGAAATTGTCGTAAATAGAAACACGCATATTGAAAAAGGGAGAATATACCCGCCATTAAGCTCTCTCCCACATAATACATATACATTCCAAAACCTCCATTTGTGATGAAATGATGGATGGCCCGTAGTTTTGTTACCTTTGGTAGAATTAACTCTAGTTTTCCCTATATATAAACATATTAGTGATAAATTGGACTAGCACAATAGATTTTGTGTTGCCCATGGACGCACCACACAAAATTCTACGCATTTAATCAATAAAGTACTCAGACACACATAACGTTGCATATACATGTATTAGTAGGTATCTGTGTGTAGTTTCCATTAAAACATTGTGTAGAAAATTGATTCATTGACTATGGCGGCAAGCCATTGAGCATCATTATGTCGCTTGATACAAGTGTAAATCAGCAACAACAACAACGCCAATAACATCATAATTAGTCGTTTTATTGTTTACCCAGCTCACTGAAACATGCTGCAGAGAATAGAAGAAGCTTAGCCATTCGAAGCATGTCGCTTTGTAAACAATCGATTTATGAATGAAAACCCAACAGCAATTTACAGTATGGCTCAAAATTGAGACAAAAGTGTGGAAATTCATGTCTCACGAAATTGATTTAAAAATCAAATTTCAAAAAACAACCGGTGTTAAGTTTTTTCAAACCGAACATTTTATACTTCCGAGCAATACTGTATTGTCTACAAGCAAGTGATGTACTTCTTGAGAATTCTGTATGCTTTTTGAAGACAATTTATTTGGTAAAATCTTTAAAAAAATTGAGAGTCCGGAATATTGGGAATACATCAAGTAGTTAAGCTATATTCAAATTTCTTGTGAGGGAAAAAGGGAGCTTTTCCCATTTTAACCACAAACTTTAAATGGAAACCTCTGTAACGGCTACTTTTATTAGCCAAAAAAACACAAAAAAAAAACACGTAAAAAAGCTGTAAGTTCGACCGGGCCGAACTTTGAATACCCTCCACCATATGGAAAGAATTTGGCAATTTTCAAAAAAGAAATTATAATAATAATAAATAAAATCCGTTAAAAATTCTGTTAAAATCTTAAAAAATACCGCATGTAGCCGAATGTAGGGTCTATACGACGACGTGGACCTGCATAGGCAACTTTTGTCATAAGCCATTACAATATTCAAATGCGAAAAAAAGGTGAATAATGCAGGTAGTCATCAAAATACCGAATATTGGGAAGTACCGTTATATGAGGGCTATATGAAGTCGTGGGCCTGCACAGACAATTTTCTGTCATAGGCTCTAGTATCCATTACGAACTTCCAACACCAAATTTAAAGAAATTACGGTGAATAATTAAAAATTAATCAAAATATCGAATATCGGGAGGTAGCGTTATATGAGGGCTATTCGACCTGCACGGACAATTTTCTGTCATAGGCTGTAGAATCCGTTACGAACTCCAAATACAAAATTTGAAACATTTCCGTTGAATAATGTCGCTTAAATCACAAAAATACCGAAAATAGGTAAGTAACATTATATGGGGGCTAAACCAAAACGTACACTTACATGGCCCATTTTCAATACCAAAAGTCCTGCAGACATAATATACATTTGTCTAAAATTATATCAACCTACTTTATTTCGTTCCGAAGCTAGATCGATTTTCATAGAAGGACAAACGGACGGACATCGCTAAATCGACATAGAATTTTATGCTGTGGGGTCTAAAATGTATATTTCGAGGTGTTACAAGCGGAATGACAAACTTAATATATCCTCCATACTATGGTAGAGGATATAAAAACTTTATGTGAGTTCATGGTTGTGGCTAAAAAGGAATCCCAAAAAAAGTTGTTAAGATCGGATAAGATTTCGATATAACACTCCAATATTTACTTATTTAGAGAGGCATATGTTAACGTTATTCGATCGCAATAAAATCTGATATTTAAGGTTTTTGAATGAAATAGGAGGAACAACTTTTGTATCAAATACTTTTTTGTTTTATATCGGTATTTACTGATAGTGGAACATCCTCATTTTGCTGGTTTCTGTCCTGAATCCAAACCAATCTAGTTGGAATGTGACATTTTGGGTTCTCTATATTCTTGACAAAATATAATAATATAGATCAGATTTTTGGTATGGTTCCCCCATAATATTTTCAATGGGTAGATTTGCTTCAATCTAGGTCCTATTGTTTGGTATTACCTGATTTTTGAAGTTTCGGCTCAAATTTTCTTCTAAATCAGTTATAATTTGATATTTCTGCTTTTTTGTGGGTAGATAAACTCCTCACAAAAATAGCTCATTTTAAGACCTAGAAAATTCTAGAGATTTTGAGGAAAACCAAGATCCATGGTATATCCACATTGGTTGGAAATCGTAGGTAGCACTTTCAAAATGTAAAAATTTCGCGTGTGAGTTTATGGATGCTATTTCGAAACCTGGATCAGTATTTTCAGTCGCACGCAGTCAGTTTGACACTCAAAATTAAGTCAACGACCATAGAATCCGAATCTATATTGAAACCGGTTGGAACATTTGATCAGACTTTTACAAAACCTTATTATTCGCAGTACCTCAAATCCATCTGTACTCATTTAGAGAAGTTTTAGTTTACAAAATGTGGACCAATGTACCAAAAAGTTCTTCTCCATAGACCTGCCATCAATATATATATACAATTGGGTGGTGTGATCCACCCAGAAATTCACGAATTTATTAAAATCTTTACATAGAAGAATTGTTGATTTTTTTTCAAATGTCTTGTAAACATCGTACACATTTGCTCACCACTATGTGGCAACAACATTCCATAGTGTACTTAATTCATTAACATAGAACTTGTAATGCAACATGTAAATATTGAACATATCCGTAACATACAACACACACACCCACCCACACACATAGGCCCAACCACTTGCAAATTAATTGCGCGGTATTGTATAATGCGAGAGAAGAGCGAGGAGCAACACTTGTTTTGGTGCCTTTATTTGTATAAACTATCACTGATACTAAACGCCAAGTTAGACGTTAGAGACATCACCACTGTTGTCAACACGCTGATTATGTTTCCTTCGAGCACCCAACACATGGCTGGGTAGGTATCTGACACTTACCCATGCTTGTGATATGGATGAGTGTCCAATGATGATGATCTGATGGCGGGATGATAATACACAAATGTAAGTGTGGACTGTGTGTGTGTCCATGTTTGTTTTCGGCATTATCAATTAATTTGTTTTTTTTTTTTCTATTTTTTGGAGAAATTCGATAGTTTAACATGATTAACTTGACCTTAACATAGTTTAAGTACCCAATGATAGGAAAATTTTTGAACCAACTAAACAAACGGACATGGTCATTGGTGATTGAATTTTGTAATAGTACAGAAAGTACAAAATGTTTAGCTGCATATTTTTTGATATTAATTTTCACATTTAATTGTCTGCTGGTTAAATTGTGGATAATTGGAGGTTTTTTTTTAATTTAAACAAAGTGGTTAATGGAATAAATAGAAAGAAGTAATATTTGGCAAGGTTGTAATAATTGAAGAATTTATAAATCTCCTCTTAATGCATCAATACAGGGTGAAATGAAAAAAAACTGCAGCCAACTTTAGACTGCTGTCATTTCTAAGTCACTCGTTCGACAGCTGTAACAAATTATTTCAGCGACAGCTCATTAAATTGTTTACAAGCGTACAAAAGCATTTTGGTGAGAACTTTCAAGAAAAAAATTATTCGTGATGGAATTTAAGCGTGATAGAGTGATTTGGCTATGGTTAGGGCAGCCCAGCATTTAAATGTGAATAAATGTTTTGTGTCTCGTACCATCGCTCGTTACCGTGATACTCTGGTAGCGTAGCTCGACGTGAAGGAAGTGGACGGAAGAAAACAGCAACATAAGCAGAAATGGTTCGAAAAGTAAAGAAGCGACTTGATCGAAACCCGCGTCACAGTGGCCGAAAAATGGCTCGCGAGCTGAACATATCGCAATATTCGATTCGGCAAATATTGAAAAATGAGCTCGGGATAATGTTATTAAAATTCCAAAAAGTGTAAGGACTTACACCGCAACAGAAAGAAAATAGACTCAAAAGAGCTAAAGAGTTGCTTCACTTGGCCGAAAGTGATGAACTGCCGAATTTGGTTTTCTCTCTCCGATGAGAAAACATTCGTTGTCCAGCAGTTTGTAAACAAACAAAATTATCGTGTTTACTTGCCAACGAGGTCAGCTGAAAATGTGCACCTTCGGTTGGCCACCAGAACTCAAGCGCCGGCCATGTTGATGGTGTGGTCCGCCATAACAGCCGATGGTCGCTCTCCGCTCGTATTAATAGACCGTGACATCAGAATAAATGCCGAAA